AAGGAGGGTCCCCAGTTACCTTAATAATCCAGTCACTTTAAGTGAAGAAATTATTTGGATATTGCCTCCCACAGCTCAAGGAGCATTTGGACAATACTCTCAGGCACACGGTGGGATTGTTGGGGTGTCCTGCACAGGGCCAGGAGTTGGATTTTGATGGTCCTTGTGGGTCCCTTCCAGCTCAGGATAGTCTATGATTCTATGATTCATGATTTATGCTTTTTTGCAAAGACAGTAATTTTATTACAGATATTCTGCTGAAGTAATTAATTGGCTTGCAGGGGGCCACAGCCTTCCAATTAGCAAACTTGTCACTTCAGATAGTTTTTTTGTCCGTTACTACATTAAAAAAAAAAAAAGAAAGAAAAAAAAACACTACCAGGAACAGTCTGTTGCTTTCTACAGTGTGCTGTGGCAGATGAATTAGTGTTGAGCAGCAACATTCATACCACAAGCACCACATTCATACCCTCCTACCCCTTCCCCTGGCTGCCAATGCAAGGCAGATGAGAGTAGGTAATTACATCTTTACTCCTTAATGATGGAATACTTGGAAAACTATTATTGATCTTACAGGACATAATTCATGACCTAATTACCGTGATAAAACTGCAAGATTACCATCTTGCCAGCTATTAACGTCTAGCGCAGATCTGAGTTAATTAGAAGAGAGATAGGTGATTTCTATGCTTTTGATTTGCAACACAACAGCAGGATGAATGAGGACGGCTGCTGAAGGCAGGACGAGCCATTTCTAGCCCTCAGACTACTCTCAACCTCTTACCCAGGAAATACCAGACACATTCAACACTTTAGCTTTGTTTCTTCAGCCACTTGAGTCATTGGCTCAGTGGGACAACAGTGATGCTGTTCATTTTGCAGAGGTTCACATGTGGAACAGAGACCTCATTTTCTTTATTTGTCTTTTACAGAATTGAGGGGATTCATCATCTAGGTTCTTGGTTTGGAATCATAGAATGATAAAGATTGGAAAAAACCTTCAAGATCATTGAGTCCAACCTTCGACTGTTCACCACCTTGTCAAGTAGACCAGAGCACTGAGTGCCACATCCAGTTGCCCCTTGAACACCTCCCGGGTGACTCCACCACCTCCCTGGGCAGCCCCTTCCAGTGCCTGAAGTTTGGACTAAGTCTTCAGTCACTCTCAGTTTGGACAAATAAGAAAAAAACCCACAAAAATCAAGAAGATTCTTGATTTCCAGAGTTAAACTCCCCCTCCCCTTAATGTCAACGATGTGTTGTGTCTGAGCAAAGAAAAAACTCTCTTCCCTCACCAGCCCTTCACTGTGTTTTTCCTGAGAAGGATGTAGCCCCACCTAAGAACCAAGCTTTGATTTCCTTCATGGCTGCTCAGAGGCCTGTTAGGGTCACACAATAAACCTACAAGATGAGCTGAGTTTTCTACCCTACTCAGGGCTCATCTCCACAGGAAACCAGTCAGCAGCAAAATAGGATGTGTCTCTACAGTGTGTTACCTGTTCCATGAGCTTCCTGTGCGTCCCCTGGAACACACCACAGTGTCTTAGTTCGACTTCCTAACTGGAGTCAACTCCTGTGCACAGACACAATCTTAGTGCTCATTAGAAATGCTCACACGAGTTATGACACAGCTACTGTGATGCACACTGTCCTCCCCTTGTAGGTAATATTTGGGTTTAGTGTTATGACTGTGATCCTCGAGATGAGGGTGTAATTTTTTGGCTTTCTGCCACCCAGACAAGTCTTTAGCAGCTGAGACTATAAATGCTATGACAATGGGCTGGTCAAGGAAACACAGCTTTGAAGTTGGGCAAGAGTGACCAAACTGAGATTTCTAGTAATACCAGGAATTTAAGTTGCTACAGTCATATGAATGTAGAAGAAAGTCCAACAATGGGTAGAAGCCAGCAAGTATTAGGGGTTAGTGTGGTGCAGAGCAGACCTTCTTTTCTCACGTTGCAGCACGAGTTCAACAAACCACAGTAACCTCTTGCTTTAAATGCAGACACCAAAGAAACCTCTCACTGGTGAGAGTCAGACAGTGAATCCTGTGGGCACCACTGCTGAGGTTGGTGCTGGCCTGCCCTGCAGCAGGCTGGCCATGCACACACACCACGCACAATTACTGGCTGTAACCGTGCTGTGAGGTAACCACGAGTCCACAGCAGAGAACCTGCTGTGTCTGACAGGAGGCACCAGGCCAAGTGCTCCCAATTTCACTTTGCCATCAAAAATGTGCAGCCATCCCTGCATTCAACCTGGCTTTGGCAAGCCATATTTCCCTTTAAGGGAAATATGACACAACAGGAGAAAGAGTGATGCAGTCTCATAGTACAGCTGGCACTGGCAAAGCAGGAAAGTTCATCCCATGTAACTGCACACTCTTATTAATCATTCAGATCCTGGCTGATATTAGGAAACTTCACTCTGGGGGAGATATCTGTTGTGAGAGACTCAATACAAAGGAAACTTGAAGCTTGTAATAAAAGTTGAAGAGAATTGAACAGTTTGCACGTAAGGAATCTTCCATATCTTCTTAAGTATTTGAATCATGGGCAAACAAGGCTCAAAAATCTTTGTGAGATAATATCTCCCCTGTTATTTGCTACCACTCAGTTTAAATGGAGGCACAGAGTTCTCACACAGTTCCAGATCACGCAGAGCTCCCCTCTCATTATTCCCAGTGCTGTCACAACGCACTGCCAGTAATACCTGACTGAAAGGGAAGCACAAGAGGCTCACAACAACTTTGTACTGGGTTTCTCAGAAGAGAAAGCAATGAGTAAGAAATGGAAAAAGAAAAGTTTACTCCTGCTTCACGAAGTCACTGAACTGGGAAGCACTTTAAGTGACTTTCTGAAGTATTTCCACTGTCCTGGGGGAGCCTTTTCACAACTGCTGTGGGTGAATGTTCCCAGCAAGAGTCTGATGACTTGTAACTCATCACAAGGAGGTTTTCATACTCTCTGAGCTCTTGTGTTGGACGGTCCATGACGAATCAGGTTCCTGCAGTCATTTGTCTCAGATTCTTCCATGACACCCCCTCTAAGATTTTACTGCTTTACTGCTTGCAAACACCTTCTCCCCACACAGCTCCTGCTGGGAAAGGCAGTTACCATCTCTCTGAGGTTTTAATGAGGAACTTGTCAGCTGAGCATGCAGGAACTTAACAGCACCTCCAATATCTTTGTGGAAAATGCATCATCTAGTTAAGAAAAAAGCATGAAGAGCCCTCAGAGAATCATACAATTCTGTTGTTCAAAAAGAAATTTCTAGTCAGGGAAGTACCACATAAAGGCATGTGCATTCCTGGATCAAAATTAGGCAGATATTACTAATTCCTCCTGTAAGGCATTAACTAAAAGAAAAAAGAAAAGCAGATGAGAGAAGGAGATCTAAGAGGAGAGCAAGAAAAAGTGCTATTTTACTTGAAGCAATTTGTCCAGCTTTTCTCTGTTTTTTAAAACAAGAAATCCAAGGAAATTCAGCTCTGTGAAGTGACTGATAAGGTGGCCCCAGTATTTCACAAGCAAACACAGGGAACTGAATTCAAAGAAACAGGGAACGAGTAAGAAACCTAAGATACCATCTCGGAAGGAATGACGCAACAGGCACAAAAAATCAGCTAGAGCTTGATTACACTTCTGTCTTTAGGTTAAACATTAGTCAAGGTCAAAATTATTCCTGAAATTATATTTTTGACCCAAGACAGAGCTGCACAAAAACAATGAAAGAGCCTCATGGTTATCAGAATGGTCAATCTAAACACAGCACAGGAGCCCAACGCATTTCAGAGCCTTTTTGCTCAGCAGTGACATCTGTTGCTACCTGGACCATCATGTGAGTCTGACAGAAGTTCCACCCTTCCTAACTATCCAGGAACTGTGCATCACAGTCTAATGAGCTCACTGCTACATCAGCAGGATGATGGAGAACGTTTCCTAGAGCCCAAAACAAAGGCACCTGTGTTAAAAGATACTAAAAGTTTAGTTCATGGCAGGAGGAACATGAGAACAGGGGAAAAAATAAAATCTGATTAACTAAAATACTTGTTCTATGAGCAATTTTTAAGAGCAGGAATTATTTCCATTTTGCTCAAAGCTGTCTCTACCTGGGACAACAACTCTTCAGGCACAAAACCTGTCAACTAGGTTTCCAAGTCAGGTTCAACTGAAAGAAGAAAAAAACTCATACACGAATAAAGCCATCTGCATGTATCAGAGTCAGCTCTGACATTAAAAAAAGGAATAACTTATATTAATTAATAATAACTCATATTTTATGCAATTTACTTTTCAGAAAAGCATCTGCATAAGTATCCAGGGAAGACTGGCAGCATGTGATACCCATTTATCCATAGGGAAGGGAGAGGAAAGAAAACACCTTGTCAGAGATCCCACTGTATCTGCAATGGGACCCACACTCAGAGCCATGTGAATCCAACCAGGAGGCACCACACACTTAAACATATGGTATCACTGACGAAAAATACACAACTTTTTGAGAACCACTTTGAATCAAACAAGTACAAAGGAAAGTGCCTATTCAGGAGGAGAGGGGAAACAAGTCTCAGATGAGGACAAGAAATCAACAGCTTAAGGAGGAAGAGGGAAACTGCACTTGATGGCACTGATCACCTTGGCACTCCTGTTACCTTACACTGGGTCACCACAGCACTGATGTGATCTGTGGTCACGTGAAAAATACTCACTGTACTCACAGAACAGTCCAGCATGCAGCTAATAAAGGATCAAGCAGGTCTGGAACAGTTTTCTCTATCAGAAATATTTTAGAACCAAGTTTGCTTAGTGTATTTTAGTAAATTAAAAAACTGAATGAATGTTTGAAAATTTGGACTCAACCAAAAGGAATCCAAACCCCATCAGGCAACTAAGTGAGTTAGTGAAATTACAGGAATATTTCTCTCAGGTAACAGTAAAGCTGTAAAGATCCATATATGCACATATATACAAACAAGGGAAAATATGACTTTTACTTACATTTCAGTGGCTATGAATCCGGTGAGCTCAGACAGGAAGAGAAACAGTATGAAGAGGCAGCAGCAGACAGAGACTGGAACAGAGACAAGGAGAGGAAAAGGTTAGTTTTGTTTCACTAACAAAGACAAAAACTGTTTTCACACAGGCATATGATTCCCCTCATGGATTTGCCAACCAGACACACTTGAGAACTATGACTCTTTAGAGTCTATGACCCAGAGGAGCCATCAGAGCTGTGACTTCACCAAAATGCCAATATCCAAAATCCTGAGGGGTATCATCATTTTTGGGCTACTTTTTCCACCATGATTTCCATCTCCCCACGGCTCTTGCATTCTCCATCTCCAGCACACAATGCTGGTCTGCCAGCTCTCCCTCTTCTTTACAGAGCTGCTTGACATGACTTCTTTGGAGCCTTTGCTCCACATTTTAATTAATTAAAACCTCCAGAAAGGAAGAAAAATCAGCACCTCCTTGCTTCAAAAGCATACAGTCAGATAACACAGTGTTTTGTGGATTAGGAGACATTTTGGTTTCTTCTCAAGTTCCAAAGCTCTGTGTAAGTCATCTCACAGCCTGGTCTTGGCAGAGCTGGTACAGCAGAGACAATAATGGCAATAATGGTAATGGACTAGTGTAGCCAATGTCTGATATTTCTCTAATTTCTCCATTTGCTGATAGATTGACTCTTCAGAGAGGGAAAATTCCCAGTGAAGGAATTGTGAACCTGGACAAGTCCCACGTCTTTTCTAAGAATTTGAACCTGGAGTTCCACGGAGGGAACCCAAAGTAACTGGCATGTTACTGGTTACTCTTCATCAGGAAACTATTCAAACAATTGGGCAGTGACATTCACACAGCAGTGACAGGGTCACTGACCCACACAGAGGGGCTGGAAGGAAGTACAGCCGTAAATCCTATGGAGCAGGGATGATTGGAGTAGGCAAGGTTGTGCCAAGTGAAGGAGACAGGGCTGCAATGTGTATCTGTATTAAATAAAATACCCAAGTCCACCATGAACCACTTGCAAAAGAGTAAAGCAGGAACTGGCAGGAGCTTCCAGGGCTGTGACAACCAGAGCACAATCCGGCTCATCCCTCCATCCCAGCACAGCTGCAGTGACCGAGCACTCTGTGAAATGACCAGTTACCAGAGCCGCTAATTAGGATTGAGAAACACGTTAGAAAAACCCTGTTCCTCAACTTTATACCACATGACCTGTACATCCCAAATATCCATTCTTTCAGGAAGCTCAAGCAACAACAGGCTAGGGAATAATTTTATCACAACTGCATCAGTCCAAACTCCCTCGGTAGAGAATGTGAGAGGCACAGGAAGGAAAGAAGAGGTACTGAGGGCAAGTACTGAGACAGACCCTTGAGTGACCTCATTCCTCAGATTAGTCAGCTGATAGCTCTGAGGAAAGAGAAATGCGTTGTTTCCCCTTCCTCATCAGAAGAATTTCAAGGGTGGATTCGTTTACTGACCCTCTGTGAAGTGCAAGGCATTAAAAGAGATCCCAAAGAATCCATTAGCTAGGATGAAGGAAGAGAGAAAAAAATACAAAGACCAGTAGGAAAATTGGAAGCAAGAGGGGATATTAATTTCCAAAGAGAAACCTCAGAGGGTCACACACTTGCTTCCAAGTCTTAGCTTTCAGGGCACGGAAGATCACCACGGCTGTGACCCAGCTGAGCCCCTGGCACGGGGCACCACACAGTGTGGGGGGAGGAGAAACTTGCTGCTTGTTTGCTTAAAGCACAGCAGCAAATTCTTATGAGAACTTACACACCTACGTAAGAGCCCAAAAAAAGTGACCGAGGCACAAGAGTCGTCGATCCAGCGTTTCGTACTGTTGGTCACAGAGCAGCAGAGACATGAGATCTCTGAGCTGTGGCAGAATTCAGGGGAGAGCATTTCACATAGACAACCCTTTCTTCTCTAATCGCTTCCCATATTCCTCACTGCTTGTTACCATCCCATAAAGGCTTTCCACAGCGTCAGCTAGACCTCTCTGCTCTCAAGCACTTCCAGGCAAGCCTGGTACTACTAACTCTAAACTCTCTCCCAGAGCTTCCTCTCTCTTCCAATTTTTTAACTTTCTTCTCTGCCACTTGTATCATCAAATTATTTTCTTTTCCAGCACAGAAAGTATGTGCTGCCTGAAGTCCATCTTTCAATTCAGCTCTTGCAGGGAAGGCTTATGACAATACTTACCAAATACAGCACAGTAAAATTCCACTAACCTACATCTAAAAAATCCTGCAAGAATGCCCTGAAGCACCTGGCAGGGACTGACTTTCAAAGCTCCTCAATGCTTTTGCCAGACTTCAAACTGCACAGTCAGTTTTCAGCCCATAAAAGAGATTGCTGAGGGTGGACATGAGAGGGGAATATAAAATCACGAGGGATCTAAAGGAGACGAATGGGCAACAACCACTCACTGTCTCTTCTAGTACAGGAATGAAAGGGGAGGTTAAAAACAGGAGAAGGTTTTCTTTTACAGAACACAACTAAATTCTGAAGATTCTTCACTGTGGGTGTTGAGGACGCTTAAAAAATAAAATCTGTAAGATTTCAAAAAGGAATCACACACACCCTGAAGAAGAAATCCACTAAGGGCTACTAAACACAAAGGAACAACTTATAGCTCAGGAATTTCAGAAACCAAAAGAGCAAAGCCTGGTAAAGTGTTTAACCTGTCCCTGTGCTCTTTCTCTGGCATCTGCTGCTGACCACTCCTGGCAAGGGGACACTGGGTTGCACGACACTTGCATCAACCGTGGCTGCTCCTATGTTAAACTCTTCTTGCACACACACATTCTCAGGACAGGGGGTGTCTTTAGCATGAGACTCACGTGAAAGCCTCATGTGTTAAACTGTCTCCAGAACCAGTATTTTCCCAGATGCAGAACACCAGCTCCTCTCCTTAGTGTGGAGCTGCGGGCACAGATGATGTTCCCAGCATAAGAATTTATGCACTTCAGCTGCTTATTTCATAGTGAAGGCTTTCACTTGCTTCCATGCAAATGTGCAGTTCCACCACCCACATTTGACAACTGCATGATATTTGGAAAAGTAGATTAAAGGCTAGGATCAGACAGAATCAAACAATTCATGCATAAAGCTTCACGTAACTGCAAGAGCACTGCGACGTTCCCACAGAGCTCGAAGGACCATCTAAGACAGGTTTCTTAAATACCTAATATGTTAACACAATCAATATATCAAAGGTAGAGACAGACTGCTGTTGGCTAATCTTTAATCCCAAAAGGATGGGAAATTCTGCCAAGTTTTTCATTCCTACACTAACCTTTTTGTACATATCGCTTCTGATACATATCCCATCTATGTACATTCCTGGCTTTTTCTCCCCACCCCACAAGAAATAAAAGAAAGAAAAAGCGTTTAACACATCACACAGACTGAGAACGTGGATCCATGTCTATATTAAGGCATAAAATTATTAGCATTTATTATTCAATGGAGCAAACTGTTATGAAGTCCAAGGAACGGGTCTTGTTACAGACGCCATGTGAATCATAACTTTGATATTTCCTGATGTGTATTTAAAACTCCAGCCCCCAAACAGCACCGAGTATTTCTGGATAACATTTCCATGTGTGCATACAACATGTGCATGCAAACTATGCATCCACATGGATTGTTAAATAGCAGGATCATTCCAGCAGCTGTGTCCGACTGCTCCTGTCCAGCCAGATGCCAACTGTCAGCCAGCCAGGGCGTGTGCTGCTGCTGCTGCTTCCATACCCAAACATGGCCAAGCTGTCACCAAGTTAGTCAGATCTGTTGGAGTGGCCCTGTGTGGCACCACGGACACGCTGCATGGGGGTGGGAAAGCTGGCAAAGAACTGGTGGAATTGGTACAATGAGGGCATGACTGGCTGAGGGCACAGGAATGCTGCCTAAAAAAAGAGAATTTTATTGAGGAAAAGGAATGAGTAACTTCTATACACTTTTTCAGAGAAGTCCACAGCAGGGGATGTGTTGTTCTACAAAAACCTCTCTCCAAGTAAACTGCAGTGGATTGTTCCAGGTTACTTCATTCCTAAAAAAATGTTCGTAGCTGGAAGGGTTGCTACACAGAGCTCAAATATCTTGTATGCAGCATTCACTGCAACTTTGGAAATCACAAAACCATACCCAATAAAGCCTCAATAACCCTCCAGTTGGCTTCTGAACTTGCTTATGTTCGAGCTCACCTGCTCTCCTCCACCAAAATTCCCCAACACTTACTCTCCCTTAGCTGCTTCCTCCCTAGGAGCCCTGGCCTCTTCAGCCCTGGTGTCAGAAGCAGAGCTGCTCTTTTCCATCTCTTTCCTTCTGTAATCTGATCTCTGACTTCTTCCCTAATAAACCTCAAACTTTTTTTTTAAAAAGGCCTTTTTACCATCCAAGAACCACTGCAGAAATCCTGCAGTAAATCCATTCCTATTCCAGAAAGCCTTCAGCACCAGAAGTGATACTGAACTAAAGCTTCAGCAGAAATCAGATGGGAAGGGCCTAAAGTAATAGTTGGCTACTATAGACTATTTTATACCTCCTGTGTAAACTTGAAGGACTTAAAGAGAGCCAAAATACAGTTGCAGTCATAGTCATTTCACATATTTACTAAACCCTGAAAGTTTTTTTGAGAGGCAGAACCTTCCACTACGCTCAAGCTCCCAATGTTATTATGAGCTGACTTCCCTAAAGCATTTATCACAAAATCATGCAACCTTCCCAGGCTTCAAACTGGCCTGGCATTGGACTCTCTCATTCATGGCCTCCTACAACATGTAAGATTAATGGCTTTCAAATTACAAGCCACAGGCTTGGTCAGACAGAAAGCCCATTAGGAAAGCTGCTCACCAGATCCTCGCAGGCAAAGCCACCAGTCTGTTGGCTGCCTGTGTGGTTCAAAAGCTTCTATCTAAAGCCTGTCTAAAACCACTCTGAGGAAAAGAAGGAGAACCAGTTAGAGAAGAAAATCAAAGCCTGAGAAGCTGCAAATAACAATAGAGAGAAATAAGTCAGCTAATAATTTTAAGTAAGAGTCACAACCTTCAAGCCTTCCCACAACAGACTTATCACTTGAGCTGTTTACTGCAGATTAGAAAGCCTAACACTGGATGGCCTTTGATGGGCTTTTTTGTTTCTAAAATACTCTTTTGCAGGTGATTCATAATAAGACAAATTCTCAAAGGCAGCCCAGGTACAGTGTGGGAACTCTCAGTTTCCAAAACAGAAGGGAAGGCGGGATCACTCACAAGTTCAAAGTGTTCTTTCAAAACACTAAATCTCATAGCCCCTGAATTCGCAAACAGTTTTAGTCAAGCCCTTTGTTCACAGCTTCAGCAAACCTAAAAGGGAGTCAGGATACAATTAATTCAGCAGTCAGGAGAACACAGAAGACAAGGACTCTGACAGTAAATATTTAGGGTAATGTGTTATCTTCACAGGAGCACAGGATAGTTGAGGCTGGCAGGGACCTCTCTGGAGATCATCCCGTCCAACTCCCCTGCTCTGAGCAGATTCCTCAGGGCCAGGTCTGGTTGTTTTGAGCATCTCCAAGGACAGAGGCTCCACACCACCCTGGGCAACCTGTTCCAGTCTTCAACCACCCTTACAGCAAGGAGTTTCTTAAGGCCACAAAGGGCTTTCCTTTGTGTCCACTGATTCACTGGCCCTGACTCAGTTCTATCTGCTGTCACCAAGGGATATGACATCACTCACGTCAGCGGTGACATACAAGACTACTGACCCATCTACAAGAATGGATGAATGGAGCACAGCTCTGTGATCAAAGGAAGTGCCTGCTCAATGGAACAGGAAAGCTGCATTAGGAGTGTAATTACAGGCTTGGCAGGATCAACCTGATCGATGTTTGCCCCGCACAGCAGCTCACTGCACATAATTGTGTGAAATTGCATTACTCAGCCTCCAGCCTCCCTCAGGAGCAGGAAGGAAGGAAAAGGGGCCCAAGGCAAGAGATTTGTATCAGCCAAAGTCTATGTATTGATACACAGGAGTGAGAGTGGATCGCTATCGGTTGCCCAAGCAATTTTAATTCTCTAAAAGCACGACAAATAACAACAAAATAACATCTGTGCTCATTAGTCCCACCTATATCATCAGATTAATTCCCTGAGTACGCTGTGAGCAAAATACATGTTTCCCACATCATCTTCACCACTGGCCACTGCACATTGCCCCCCACACTGCTCCTTGTGGATCCAGAACCTGGAGTCCCTGTTTGCAGTGGTTTAGTTCCTCAAGTCTCTTCCACAAGCACAAGCCTGGGAACATCAACAGTGAGTGCAACTATTAACAGTAATTTTTCACAGTGACTGAGGGGGTGCCTGTCAGAGGCAAATAAACCTGCAGTCATCCCCATCCCAGTGTTTGGAGCAGACTCCCAGCTTCTGTTCCTGGGAAGAGACCAGCAAAAAGCTCTCTAGCTACTTCAGGAGATAGCAGAGTGGGAATTTCAACACCAGTTTTTAGGAGCTCCCTTTCATGACAATACATATTTACTGTATTTTCTTTTTGAGATTTCATTGCTCTGGTGAGACCACCCCAGAATATTGTGTACAGTTCTGGTGCCCTCAACATAAGAAGGAAATGGAACTATGGGAATAAATCCAGAGGAGGCCACAAGGTTGAGAAGGGGACTGGAGCACCACCCCTATGGAGACAGGATGAGAAAGCTGGGGCTGTTCAGCTGGAGAGGAGAAGGTTGTGTCGAGATCTCACAGCCCCTTCCAGTATCTGAAGGGGCTACAAGGAAGCTGGAGAGGGACTGTTCATCAGGAACTGGAGTGACAGGACAAGGGAGAATGGGTTCAAGCTGAAAGAGCAGAAATTTAGGTTGGATATGAGGAAGAAATTCTTCCCTGTGAGGGTGGTGAGGGGCCCTGGCACAGGTTGCCCAGAGAGGCTGTGGCTGCCCCATCCCTGAAAGTGCTCAAGGCCAGGTTGGACAGGGCTTGGAGCAACCTGGTCTGGTGGAAGGTGTCCCTGCCCATGGCAGGGGTTGAAATGAGATGGTCTTTAAGGTCCCTTGCAACCCAGGCCATTCTGTGATTCTACAATTCTGAATGCATACAAACTACTCCACTGTTTGATGGGGCAAACCTGTTTCAGCAACAAAGGACACCCTTTCCAATGTTTAATATCCCTTTAAAAAAATTTCCCAGAGACAAAGAAGCCAAACGAGTTTTAATTTTAGACCAGGAGTATGCAAGGACATCAAAAAGAAGTTACTTACTAATGGCCCCTGTGTAGGTTGGCTGTGTAAGGTCTTTTGGCACCTTCCTGTAGATGTCAAACCTGAAAGAGGAAAAGCAACAGCCATAAAACAGGTGGAACATTTCAGTATACTTCATGTCCCCACAGGGATGAATGATGCTGAAGTTTTTCCATCCCGCTTTCCAACAACATTTTTTTCAGTACGCAGGAGGATATGAGAAGGAAAAACAAAACAAAAAGCCCTTTACTTCTGTACAGTTATGTAACTGCACTCTGCTTTGGCTCCAGTTTCCAAAGCACTTCCCTCCGCCTCGCTGTCATGGATCTGTGCAATCTGAACTGCGAGAGAAGCCAGGGAAGGAGTCATGCTGGACAAGCTTATAGACCACTGTAAGGAAAAGGATACTCTGAAGACTCCTGAATAAAGATGCCTGGCAAAAAAAACAGTGAGACACAACCTATATTGCAGCTTATAGTTTGTATCCTGCAATAGACCAAAATAGACAACATCAAAGTCAGAAATCCAGGTGTTGAGACAAGAAACCATCCCTTGGACACTGGATACCCAAGAGAAATGAACCCGACAAGTTTGCTACTCCCTCAGCAAAATCCAGTTTAATATTAGATCGTTGTTTTGATTCAGTCATAGCTTTTAATATCCATATAGCTCAGCTTTGCTATTTTAAACTCCCCATGGTTAAACTTTCCCTGCCCTTATGTGTTGGCTATATTATTTCCTACCACCTTGTGTTTCTGCACGCCCAACCGCAATGCAGCTCTGACATCAGTTTTTCCATCACCCAATAAAAATTAATTAATGCATTAAAAACACCTACCCACCCTAAAGAAGGAAGTGACTGGTTCTCCCCCCAAAATAGACTTTTTTGGATATACTACAAGTGGGTGAGATCTGATGCTTTTTCCAGCCCTGGAGAGGCATGAGAAACACCAGCTCCCAAATTCCTATTCTACAGTGCACCAAGATGAAATACCCCCATGTTTAATCAGTAGCTCCTACTACACCAAATACTATACTGGGACTTTAAAACTAGATCATCTTCGTTTTCTTCATTCTTTAACTGTTGAGATAACTTGAAGGCACTCTGGATGAACAAAACAGCATTTGCCTTGCATGAGATCAGAAAGACGTGGTTGCGTTTCATTCAGGAGCTGAAGCTGGAGAAAGGAAGGGAAGAGAGGGAAAGGAGAGCAGGTATATAGTTCATCTGCCCAGCTCAAGTCCTGAATGATCTATGAACTCTCTTAACACCCTAACAACCCACTGTGATACACTTGACAGCAACATTGCTCAGGAGCTGTATGTTTTTATGACTCTACTCGCTGCCGTGTCCTAAGCAGATCAGCAATATTCCTGAACCAAACAATCCATTTACGGTTTTCCAGCTGCCCTGAGAACATCTGGAAAGTGCTGTTAGAATTCTTTCCACGCACACCAAAGCAACAGCAGCGGATGGCAAAGGAACCCAAAGTAGCTGCTGACATCATGGTCTCACAGGCAGAGGAAGCTGCTGCTCGCTCCTGCTCTCAGCCCATTAAACGCCGAGCGCTGGCGTCGTCTGGCCAAAGTCACAATAATAGATCAACAGGGCTAAAAAAGCTGAGAAAGAGACAGAGCACGTGAACACACGAGAGCTGCTGAGTGTGAGCGAACACTCAGAAATAGGAAACAGCTCTATGCTGGATTCAGTAAAAACAGCGGCGGATACTATAAAAGGAAGTTTGCTCCCACAATGAGAAATATTTACTAGTATTAAAATGATGACCCATCACAGGACTAAAAGCAAAAAGTCTAGCTTTTTAAACAGCTCTCCGGAAAGCTGATGTCATGGCAGGGTTCTCTCCTCTCAGGCTGCCATTTTGATCACATAAGGAACACCCAACACCACAAATTAACTTTTATGTGGTGTAAGTAAGCTTGGATTAGGCAAAGACACTGCAGAAAGTGTTTGGTGGCTCCCAGCCACATTTATCACCTGGCTTTAAATGTTTAAAAGGCAGTGCACTCCCTGTGCTATTCTGCTTCCCATCCCTCCTACCACATTATGTTCCCCCTCTTCTACTACCATGACACACATCTGGGCAAAGAACATCAGACAAAGCATGTCCCAGCCTGAATTTACAGTCTAGAGGCACACACAAGAAGAGTACAAAACAACACAGGAGAACTGAATAAAAGTTTGATGCTTTGTTTTCTAGATTTAACATGTTTTTAGATAAGGACAGACACTACGGAATAGCACAGAATGGACAATGTATGGAAAAGAGGCAACGAGATCAGATTGGATGTGGGGAGGAAGGAGGATGGCTCAGTTGAGGTCTTATGGAGAAAGGCAGAAGCTTGAAGGATGATTTCCAGAACCTGACTCAAGCAAAAGGGTAGGTAAGCATGGAAGGTGTATTTAAGCTTGCACAAGGATGCTGAAATGATCACAACAATCAACAAGGGAATGGAAAAAGACACATTTGGAATAAGAGACAAACACTGCTGGCTAGATTTTGCTCACATCCAAATGACTACCTGCCCAAGGTAGAAAGGACTGTGTAAGTATCCTGGCAGAACAGTCATTTGCTTGGAAAACACATGTTCTGAGTTAGGAGGATTTATACTTTTTATACTATTCAGGGTACCAGGCATCCTCTCAATAAGGCATCTGATATTGGCTACAATTTATACGATTTATTCAGTCTGCTCCTGGTTGGTGAAAACAGCAGTTGTGTTTACACATTCAGAGAAGGGAAAGGTGGAGGCTCAAAAGACTTTGAGAAGAATGATGGAGATGGCACGGCCAGGAAACAGGGCTACCTTGTTAACTCAGATTTAAACACCAACTTAGAAGAAAACGTGAAGTGCATAGCAGTTAATGACAGCTTGAAAAGTATGTTTGTGAGACACAAGAAAGGTTAAATCCTAGCAATGAGTAGAGAATGGAACCCCAAAGAAGGCTTCATTAATTACGTATAATTATAAAAATAAGTAAATCAAGCAAACTTCTCAAACAAACCTGTGAAGCCGACAAGAGTTATTGTAACAGGAGACCCTAAGCCCAAAGAAATCAGAGATTTGTGAAAGCTCCAATCAGGCCTAAGGGTTAAAAATCTGATCAACTTCTAGTCTCCGCTTGACAAACCTTTCTCTTTTTGCCGCTGGCTTCTTGCCTACCTTATAGAGCTGAAAGCAATTTCAGGAGATCACTTACACTGTCCTGGGAAGAGGAAAGAATGAGGATTAGACAGCACAGATGATTTGCAATGTATGAGGGAGGAGGCCATGGAGCTGTATGAGTGGTAAAGGGGAACAGGTTTTACTTGCCCTCAGGTCAGATGTTCCTGCAAGCACCTGCAGTAAAAATTCCAACAAGCCTCCAGGTTCCTAAGGCATTGGTCACCTGGAAGAGCATCTGTACCCTGGGAACAGAGAGGAACTTTGTGCTCTGTCTATTGCAAAAGCTGCCTTACAGATTCCTACTTCATTCAAAGCAGTGGAAGGTATTACTAACGCTGGAGGAAGACTGGATGTTCAGAGGGTTGTACCAGCCAGCTCATAGCACTGTACCACACTGTGAACACACTGTACCACAGTGTCAAAAACCACCTGGAGAGTCTTGGAGTCAGATCCTAAACGACCATGAGAAACCAGGGTGTAGATTTACAGCATGTCCTGCAGTCACTGATGAGTGAACTCTCTTAACCTGCAGCCCTGCGCAGCAGCTCATGCTGCTCTCAGCAGGGAGACATCAGTTCACGCTTACAGAGCAGGCACATGTGCATTTTCCACTGCACAATATTTATATTTAGCTTTTGGCAACTTTCTTCCTCCCTTCAGAAAGGCAAGACTCGTAAGGTGAAGCAGTATCTGTGAGTTAATCAGCTAACACCATTTCAGAGTGGAAACAACAAACCTACTGCTGGGAAAGTTTTTCCTCCAGGTCATACGTGTTCGCATAAAGGGAAGGCTGGACCTTGCAATTCCAGAATACGAGGCTAAAGATAGAACTAGGCTGTCATAAGTATAACAAAGCAATTTCCTGACACATCTAAAGTGTCTTTTCTTTCAATGGAGAGCAGGGTTGCAAACAAAGAAATGAAAAAAGGCTGTTTGGCAATGTCAGAGGTTCGCAGGAACCAACACTCATAACTAACAGGAGGGAGTGGTATGATACCTTTTCCTCAATCCAATAGCTGAAAGGACACAACAAAAAACTTTCTCACCTTCCTGACAGGAATGACAACAAACTGGTAAAAATTGTCTCTCTACATCTTTCCTGCAGGCTCCCTTCAGGTACAAGGAGGCCACAATTAGGACACCCCAAAGCCTTCTCTTCTCCAGCCTGAACAATCCCGATTCTCTCAGCCTTTCCTCACAGTAGAGGTGCTCCATCCCTCTGATCATCTTGGTGCCTCCTCTGGAATTGGTCCAACAGCTCCATGTCCCAGCTGGGTCCCCAGAGCTGGAGGCAGCTCTGCAGGGGGGTCTCACCTGAGCAGGGCAGAGGGGCAGGATCCCCTCCCCTGCTGCCCATGCTGTGGGATCAGCCCAGCACACGGGGGGTTTATGGGCTGCCATCGCACATTTGCTCTTCATGTTTGCTTTTCATTATCTCCTAGAGCCACAGGAAGCACTGAAGTGTTTAAAACCCAGAGCCAGACACAGCAGTGCTCACCTGAGCCACCATCATCACCAAGGCTGGCACTGCAGAGGCAATGGTAGGTCAAACCCAACTGAACAAGGTGAGTAGACATCATCAGCCCTGGGGTGATTCCTGAGTTTCCTTTCAAACCTCTGTGATTGACAGTGCTGGACGAGTGACAGGGAGGGCAGAAGATATCTACCCAAACACTGAAGTTTTTTCTCAAGTAGATACTTCAGCTGCCTGCCCTGAGAAGGGGATGAGCTCACTCCCTCAGCAGGAGCTGAGGCTTTCTTCCAGGGCGTGCTTTATGTACACTTGAACAGCTTCAAGTCTGGATCTGAAATATTTCAGGAAATGAAGTAATAAATACATTATTTCACTGAAGATTACCACACCTCCAAACAGAGAAACCTTCTCTGACATCTCTAG